GAAAGATCAAGCTTCAAAAAAAAAAAAAAAACGAAGAGTTTCCGAAAGCTCCATTGTTTAAACAAAAACGACTGCATGTATAGCTCACAAATGTTTTAAAAATATGGCATGGATAATAAATTTAAAAACAAAAAAAATAAAATATATAAACAGGAACAGTAATAGTGGCAACGACTTACTGTGCTGGCCAGGCAAAAATAATATTCAGCTTAAAATAATAATTAAAAATGAAAAAAATCGGAGAAAATAAAGTGAGGTAGTTCTTTCCCCCACAAGGCGAGTCAACAGACTGAATTGAAAAAGTGGGATAATTGACTGCCTTCATTTTTTGGGATTTCAAAGTGACCAGGTGCTGCATTTTAAATAATGCCTAAGAAAATACTCAAGTTTTGGCTACCATGGCTTCCCGTATGAAATCCAGCTGTAACTCATTTCTTCGTTCCATTTGGCTCGTTTTCTGCGAATTTAACGCTCTGTTGTTGTGCGTTTGACCGAAACAATGACAGGATCCATTCTCCCTTATGTTATTTTCCCTGTCCATCTATAAAGTTTTCCATCTGTCTTCTTTCGTTTTCCGATATATTTATTTTTTTCTTTTCCTTTCTTGCATATTGAGTTTCCTTGTCTGTCTTTCCACCATTGCCTTGCCGCACCATCATCTCCATATCATTCTCTATCCCATTTTCCGACTTCCATTTCCTTTAATCGTCTGTCCAAGTGTCAGTTCGTTTTGTTTGATTGATTTTTACACCCCTGGCCTTTGGTTAGTTTACTGGGAATCCTTGCAAGGAAAAAATTATATTTCCAAGAAAATGGAGAAAAAATGGGCAAATTGCATTTGTATTAAAAGCCAAAGATCTAGCACTTCTGTACCAAGGCTGGGTGATATTTGTTATGAGATTAAAGGGAGGGTTTCTTTATTTCAACCCCTAAAATTGGGTAAAACTTTTAAATGTTCTATATATCTGAAGATGTGCTTCTATGTTTTAACTTTAAAGAATCATTATAATTATATAGTAATTTAATATTTTCGTATCCTAATCGGCCGTTCTCCATAGAAATAAAGCGCTTAAGAAAAATACTAGATCTTTGCGTCATATTCGCGATCTCAGAAGACGCTATATTGGCGGGCTTTGCTTTTTCGCGGCAATTTTGGCGCATTGTCGCTGTGGTTTGAAGTTAGTCATTGAAAATGTTATTATATATTTAATTACTGTAAAGTACATACATATGTATATATAAGTACTTAATGTTTACTACCAAAATTAATGTTTACTTTAATTAAATTTCGCGCAAATGAATTGTATTCTGTATTGGCGTATTGTCTATTATATTTGTAGCAGTTCGTTAAGTTTCCAATAAATTTGCACAGCACTTTGCCCTCTGACCCCTGTTATAACTTACCTTTCCGCTTTCGCCGCCAGAAAGTATTCGTTGTTATGTCATCGACACGACAAGGTGAAAGACAAACAACTTTATGCCAAGTTGTTAACAAAGTGAGCCGGCGACCCCAACCAAGGGTGAGTGGGGGGTGAAAGTCTCGGTGTTTTTCAGTGGGTGGCAGTTGCAAACATAAATACATAGCTGCAGAAATATGCTACCCAACACCTCTTCTTGTTTTTTTTGTTACAAATCTCAGACTTCCTAACCCTGACAAGACAATTGACTGGAAAATGTTGTTAATGAACTTTGTGCGACATTTTGATTAGCTGTCAGGTGGGTACACCTCCAACCTCCAACCTACCACCCACCACCTCTCCAACCTAACTAACCTATTCAACCTCTCCAAGTTGTTTCTAACAAAAGGTCAACAAGTGGGCCAACAACAGATGCCAAATGATGGATGTCAAAGTTGCTTTTGGTAACACTTGAATTATCAGAGAAATGGGCCAAACGGAGACAGTCGAGATTCCAATTCCGTTTGCTTGACAATGCCATTTTGTCACACTGTGATAGAACAGCGAAAATAACAGTAACTGCACCGGAAAACAACAAAAATATATATGTATATGTAGTATAGGAGAGGATGGTGAAAAAAAAATAAAGGAAAAGTTTCTGCGGAAAAGTTGTAAACTTAATTTATAGTTTTTAAGCAGCCACCAAAGTGGGAGGCTCGCTTTTTATTCAGTTAGAAAAATGTGTTTCGCAGCTATCAGTGGGTAGAATGAAGAAAAGTAGAATGTGTGAAAGAGCCAGCTGGACGCGGCGAGAAAGAGACAAGGAGAATGGGTGGAAATTTTCACATTTCATTCTCGCCTCGTCGCTAGGAATTTCCAAATGAAATATTTGACTTTTAGTCTAAAAAGTCAGCAGAAAAGTTGAGCAAACAGACTGCGACCAAGTGCCAGCATTTAAATGTGCATTAGATTCCCCAAAAACTGGGTGAAGTGGGCAAAGGTTCGCTTTGCTTTAAATACTCTATTTTTTTTTTTTTGCTAGCTCAAGGTATCTGGAGATAGAGCATCTCCATTTAATGAGCATACGCTCCTCTGCCTTTCGAGTGGTTTGGCCATTAACGATGTGAGTCCTGCAATTATGCCAGCCATCGATGCCGAGAGTCCTGAGAGCCAGTCAGTCAGTCAGTTTTCCGGAGTGCAGAGGAAGCTGTTTTGTCAGGTAACAAACATGGTTTACTCGACTACCAAAAAAAAAAAAAAGTAGACATTAAATTGTTTAAAATTGATGCTTAAATATTGTTTATACCTGAATGTATGAGTCCCTAGTTGCAAGACTAAAATCCTATTATGAATTAAAGCTTATGAATTATAACCTTTAAAGTCTCATAACCAATTTTTGACACTGTAAAAAGTGAAATCATGTCCAAAGGAAATCATTTTCCCAAGTTCTTTCAACGAGAACAACTCTGCATACATATTCTCAGTCTACTTGGCTCATGTGGCCAGAAGGCACAACCTTGGAGCTCTTTCCCTCATTTAGTTGGAACAACCTTTCAGGGCAGCTGCTCACTTGACAAAAATCCAGCCCAAGCGACGCCCCCTTTTCTATAATGGTCTGTCAGTCTGTCTTTCAGTCTGTCCGATTGTCTGTCTGTTTGTCAGAAACGCTCGGAGGCTTAAGGCCGGCATCTTCATTCTGGCTCCGAGTTGTCCAGTAACGGTGAGCCGCCTGTTCTTCAAAACATCTCCATATTTGACTGAAACGAAAAGGTATGCCAGAAACAATGTAAAATGTTTTCATTAAGAGCTTGATAGCTCACAGTTACCGTGTAGTCTTGAAAAAACGACCTTAAAATTCTCCAAAAAAGCACAGAAAGGGCACATTTGACTCTCTTTAAAGATATGGTCACACCATTTGCTTGCATCAATTTTTGAATTCGTCATAATCATCCTGTGGTCTAGCAATACCTCTAGCTTCATCCAACTACTGGGAACTACTGGGCAAACAGAAACAGAATAGAAACAAAAACTTTTGACATGCGGCACGACTCGCCTTGATGGCTCCCACTCACTTGGCCAAAAGTACACGTTTCGGCCTTCATGTTAACACGTTCTGGTTGTGCGATTTCCATGGGATGGAGGTTGAGGTGGGTGGCAAAGGATTGAAGCCATCAGGATATCGGAGAAGTTAGAGACAGGAGACAGGAGAACGCTGCGTAATTATACACTTGTAGGACGCAATTGAATGGTTATATCCATTGAATTTTCCAATTCAATAGGCTCCGGACGGGGTTGCCTGATATTTTTACGGCTCCTAGAGGAGACGACGTATATGGATATATAGTGGCCAAGGGGCCTGAGAGCCTGAAGGTGGGGCGGAGGTGGATAAATGACTTGAGTGTTTGTCCATTGGCCATCCAGTGGCCCAATGTCTTTCACGGCGCACATTCAAGTCCAATTTAGCCTTTATGTGTCCTCATCGTTGTCGTGGTTGCCCCACCCAAGGGATGTTTCTCCATTTTGGAGCACGCACACGTACGGACACAGAGGCTGGCGGACAAACGGACACGGCAGACAGACATGGTCGGACAAATGGACACAGACGGACATAGTCGGAGAGGTTTTAGTCCGAAGGATAAGAGGGGGGGCGAATGGGAATTTCAAATCCTTGCGCCGACTTTACTGATTTTTGTATATTTTTTTTTTTTGCCTCTTCGCATCAATGAAAATGCCAACATGGAAGCATACAAAATCCAAAAGATGAGGCAAAAAAAAAAAAAAAAGAGAAAAGAAAAATATAAAAGGGAAAATAGAGTTGGAGGGCGTTATGCTCAGATACAAATGCATCGTAAACATGTCGTCGCGTTATATTGGGATCTCAAGTAGCCCCCTAGTTTTCCATTGTCTATTTTTGTTTGCTTTTTATTTGCTTTTTCTCTCAGCTCTACTTAAAGGTCGGCATTTTCACAGATTTCCTGGATTTCACAGAAACTTTTGTTGTTGAAAAGCTTTTGAAATTTATTGTTTCGATTTTAAAGAAAATTTATGAAAAAAAAAAAAAAAATATCTTTGATTTAGATTTTGTTTCAAAATGCTTGTGTGTCGCCTGATCGGATCTGATTTGATCTGCCTGTCAGGACATAAAAACATAAAGGACAACAATTTATGGCACATTTGCAGCTCCATCACCGACACCAAACCAAAAAAAAAAAAAATCCGGTATGTCTGTTTGGGCCATAAAAACAGCGATGCCCCAGAAAAAAAGGGGCAATAAAGTTGGCAAAACGGAATCAATATTGCCCAGCCCGGCTCGAATGGCCATAAACCCCAAAAACCGAGACTGAAATCGAAACTGAAACTGAAACCGAAACCGAAACGACTGGCACCGAAAATTTGTGCCAAAAGGTGCCAAAGTGCGCCACGCCCATCGAGATTGATTTCCACTTATTAACCGAAGCCGCCGAAGGATGCAAGGACACTCGAAACTTGGCCGATTACTTTTTGCATAAATTTGCAAATATTACTGCTGGATAGTGCTGTTGGTATTTTGGCCATTTTTCAGCCAGATCTGGATAGCTTTAATATTTAAAATTCTTGAAAAATAAAATTTTTTTTTTTAAATTACAATTTAAGACTAAAGAGTTCCAAATGCAATGAGACTAGTAAGGAGAATAGGGGGTGGTTACTTGCCCTCTCCCTCAAGGACGACCTCAACGATGACAGATGCCTTCTCCCAATTACCTTCTACCTTGCAGTTCCTGTCCAGCTTCTCCTCATTGATGGTAATGAATGTGGGATCCAGACCGTTAATGAACTGCTGGATGGGCATGCGGCAGGAAAAGTTACGAATCCGACGCCGATTTCTTCGCTCGATGCACTCCAGCTCATCGTTGAGAACACTGAGGGTGGCGTACACCGGTCGCCGGGTGGCAGGGGAGAGGAGCCAAAAGAGGTAGACGGTTCCCCATTCGCGGCTGGGGTCCGGATACCGGGCGCCGATAGCATACTGCTCCGACCGGATGGCGCGATCCTCGTGGGTGAGCAGTGCCTTCCAGGTGGTGCGGCATGCCATTACCAGAACGGGCAGGTGGCAGTCTAGAAACTGGTGGCACGGCGGCAGATCCAGTTGCTGGGCGGCCAGTTCCCCGGGACCCAGTTTAATGTTTGGCTGACGCCAGTTGAGCACCGCCAGGCAGTAGTCCTGGTCCAGGACCATCTGGCTGTAGGCTAGCATTAGCAATGTCTTCTGGCCAATGGCCACTTCGCGGAGGCGCAACTGGAAGGGCAGAGCTCGCGCCCCTGGATCCAGATGGTCGCTGATCATGTGCCGCAACAGGTGAGTGTGGGCCACCATCGTCCTGCAGTTGCCGACAGGGCAGACGGCGGGCTGGTTACCCGCTGGGCCCTCCCTCGCCCGTTGCTGCTGCTGCTCCTCCGTCCGCATCAGCCCGGACACGCCACTAAGCTTCATATTTCGGCAAGAGTCCTGTGTTTCTGTCTTTCCTTGCACTGGTAATTTGATTCTTAAAGGCAAACGCTACGGTGACTCGATCAAGATTGATTGCCATCCTCTGAAAGATATCCAAATTAATATTTTAAATTGTAAAAGGTTTTTTTTACTGCCGTCATTAGCATTTGGTTTTATTTTACTCGGGGGGCGAACGTGCGTGCAACATTTCTGCCGACCGACTGGCAACAACGACAGCTTTCTCCTGCCATTGACATCCGCACTCGCATCCGCATTCGCAGCGCCATTGTCATTGCCATTTGCAACTGCATTCCAGCTGTCCGGCCGTGCGTGTCCGGCGGAGGGCGACTACAAAAAATAGAAGAGCTCGGGCCAACCTGACGTGCCCATGACGCGACACTGAGAACCCAAATTTTACAAAACTTTTTTAAAATATGTATATTATGCGGAACAAACTTATACAATCTTGGTGCAAAATCGACCCACAAATCGTTTAAGGTACTCCGCTCAAGGATCGGTTGCGAATTGGCAAAGATATAGTCATCGGAAGTGGCGATATGAGAGTATCCCGGTTTTTCCAGGGGAACCATCAGAAAAATATGAAAAAAATTTTAAAAATATTTTGTGTCAGGGTTTTGATGCAGAATGGTGCAAAATCGACCCACAAACCGTTTAAGGTACTCCGCTCAAGGATCGGTTGCGAATTGGCAAAGATATAGTCATCGGAAGTGGCGATATGAGAGTATCCCGGTTTTTCCAGGGGAACCATCAGAAAAATATGAAAAAAATTGAAAAAATATTTTGTGTCAGGGTTTTGATGCAGAATGGTGCAAAATCGACCCACAAACCGTTTAAGGTACTCCGCTCAAGGATCGGTTGCGAATTGGCAAAGATATAGTCATCGGAAGTGGCGATATGAGAGTATCCCGGTTTTTCCAGGGGAACCGTCAGAAAAATATGAAAAAAATTGAAAAAATATTTTGTGTCAGGGTTTTGATGCAGAATGGTGCAAAATCGACCCACAAACCGTTTAAGGTACTCCGCTCAAGGATCGGTTGCGAATTGGCAAAGATATAGTCATCGGAAGTGGCGATATGAGAGTATTCCGGTTTTTCCAGGGGAACCATCAGAAAAATATGAAAAAAATTGAAAAAATATTTTGTGTCAGGGTTTTGATGCAGAATGGTGCAAAATCGACCCACAAACCGTTTAAGGTACTCCGCTCAAGGATCGGTTGCGAATTGGCAAAGATATAGTCATCGGAAGTGGCGATATGAGAGTATCCCGGTTTTTCCAGGGGAACCATCAGAAAAATATGAAAAAAATAGAAAAAATATTTTGTGTCAGGGTTTTGATGCAGAATGGTGCAAAATCGACCCACAAACCGTTTAAGGTACTCCGCTCAAGGATCGGTTGCGAATTGGCAAAGATATAGTCATCGGAAGTGGCGATATGAGAGTATCCCGGTTTTTCCATGGGAACCATCAGAAAAATATGAAAAAAATTGAAAAAATATTTTGTGTCAGGGTTTTGATGCAGAATGGTGCAAAATCGGCCCACAAATCGTTTAAGGCACTCCGCTCAAGGATCGGTTGCGAATTGGCAAAGATATAGTCATCGGAAGTGACGATATGAGAGCATCCCGGGTTTTCCAGGGGAACCATCAGAAAAATATGAAAAAAATTGAAAAAATATGTTGTGTCAGGGTTTTGATGCAGAATGGTTCAAAATCGACCCACAAATCGTTAAAGGTACTCCGCTCAAGGATCGGGTATGAATTGGTCAAGATATAGTCATCGGAAGTGGCGATATGAGAGCATCCCGGTTTTTCAAGGGGTACCATCAGAATTACCTTTTTTGTTACAATTCTTTACCGTGTAAGCAGAGCTTTTTTTAATAACCATGAGTATGATTGTGACGATGACGACTGGCAAGCGGAGACTGCAGCTATGCTTTCTCCCTTTCTAGTCTAAAGGTCCACCACCTCGTTCCCCCCTCGCTCTGTTGATGGCGTATTAATGACCGGAATGTGGAATGTAACAGAAAATTTCTTCTCACATTTCCCGCCCACAGTTTCTTCCTGCTTTCTCAACTTTCTTTCATTCTTTCATATATAAGTATGTTTTTTTTTATTTTTTTATTCAGCAGCTTGCAATGCAGAAAGAAAGGGGGTCCTCGAGGGGGACTGACAGGATTGCAGAGGTCCTTGGCCATGCTGCCGGAATGCATAATTGAAATACGAATCGAGTGAATGCCCCGACAAGCAGATAAGAAAATGACAACGGAGCCCTGCAAGAAAATATAATTCCAAAGATGGGTGCCAACATAATAGAAACCCCCACCATGGAGTACCTTTGACCTTAAAGGTTTACTTGATATTCAAAGGAGAAAGCTTCCTTAAATTATTTGTATGTTTTTCAATTCAGTTAGTCATTCAATCATTCAGCTCATCGCATTTTTCCTGCAACTTTGACTGCGCATATTACTCATACGCCCCGTGATCCAGACACTGATATGAAGCCGCAACAGCTGCCAACTGGTGCGTGTGCGGGCGTGTGTGTGCGATTGTGTGTGTTTGATTACTGATGTATATGTTTATATGATTCCCACTTACCAACGCTGCTACACAAGTTTATTGTTGTACCCGTTCAGGGCCTCCAGAACACCACCCCTTTTTTGGCACGCCCCTGGCAGGCCACCTTGTTCCTGTTCCTTGTTCCTTGTTTCTTGGCCATGTTTGGCTTTTATTTGCCTTGTATGCTTCTAAGTCTGCCATATAAACACTGAAAAAAAAGTATACAAATTAAATGAAATTTTTTATTAAATGAAATATTAGAAATAATAAGAAATTTCATAACAATATGTATGGTTGGCTAGAAAAGTAGATTTTAAAATAATTTTTACAACAATTTTTAAGCTGAAATTGAATCTATAGATTTATAATATTAAGAATTAAAATTCTTAAATATTTTCAATATTAAAAACCTTTTAATACTTTTTCTAATTGTGTCTGTATTCCAATGGGTAACATTGTTTGGTTTGGTGGAGGCTTGGAGGTTCTTCCTTGGGTGGTTGAGTATTTCGGGGCGGTAGTGGGTGGTAGGTCGTGGTAATGGGCGGTATGGAGTGGTACCTCGAAAACGGGTAGCAAACAAAACCCGAAACGCTGGCAAAATGAAAATTATGCTCTCTTTGGCATTAAGTTTATGAATAACGAGCATATGTAAGTCGGACTCGAAGTCTCCACAACTGCAAGTGTGTGTGTGTTTGGGGTGTGTGTGGGTGTTAAGTGTACAAGTGTGTGTGTGTGTAAAGCTTATAGGAATTTATTTTGTGCCATAACTACAGCAACAGCAACTGTAAGAGGTAAGAGGAACACTCACACTGACACTCCCCCAGGTCGTTTGCTGTCTGCCGATCAAAAGGTGTTAAATTCTGATGTTACTAAGCGCACAAAGAACCACAAAGACATGCACAACCAAAGTGGTTGGGGAAAGTGGGTGCTCATGTGTGTCTGGGTGGTTGAAAGGTGCTATTCCTATTTGCATATATTCGTTTAAAAATCTTTATTAATAGTCAATTGTTTGTCGGTTGCTGGAAGTTAACCTCTTGAAGTGCTCCTCTCAAAAATTCACTTAAACTTAAGAGCTCGGATTAGACTTTATTCTATTTGGGGACTTTGAATCCCCGTTTTTTGTTTATTTCTTTTATCAATTACCTTTGGCATACCTTCTTTTAGCCAAAAGCTTTAGACACTAGCTTTGCTTTGCTCAGTCAAGTCGAGTCCTTTTCGCTGACAACATTTGGCTTAGATTAACAACTATTTGCCCGTCGGAAAATCCTTCGTTCTCTCCCCACTCTATTTTTTGCCATTTTCCCCAACCAGATTTCCTTTGGCCGGGAGCCGGTAGCCTGGAGGCCCCGTTGCCTTTAATTTCGAAGCTGCAGCTGTCGTCTTGCAATTGTTTGACTCAATATTTCAGCTGCTTGGCAGCTTTATTTTAAATAAATAAAGTCAGCTTTTGCTCTATACGCTCGGGTGTGTGTGTGTGTGTGTGTTGGGTGTAGGGGGGGTGGTGTGCGACTATAAGGATGTGGGTAGATGGGTTTGTGCCTCAAGTTACAAATAAAACGCAACCAAAATGAGCTTAAGAGCTTATGGAACGCTAAACAAACAGCGCACACACAAAGCCGCGACGCCGCGTCAGCAGAGACGCCGACAGAACGAACACACACACGCTTCAGTGGCTTACAGCTGACTGACTTAGAGGGGGTCTGAGGCAGATCCTTAGTCTTTAGTCCTTTGGATCTCTGCACCAAAAGAAAAACTCAAAAAAAACAGGTTTCTCTTTTTTTTAAAGAATTTTTGAAACCATTTTTGAAGACAAAGGTTTGAAGGTTTTAGTTTCTTTTTATAATATTTTAAAAATCTATAAATCAACACTATAAAAGTAGGTTAAAAATATTTACTAAGATCCCTATATATATAAAAACCCCTTTGGATCCCCATTTAAATGGCTTAAATATTTATCCACTGTGTGATGATGCTTCGGCTTGGCTAGCTGGAAAGCGAATCGCTTTTGCCTTTTATGACTAAGTCAAATATGAAAGTAAGTTGCCAACAGCTCGCTGACTGAATGCCACGCCCTCCCTTCCTCAACCGCCCCCTTATCCATCGGAATTCTTTCTGGTTTTTTTTTTCTTCAGCTTCCCAGAGGGCAAGAAACAGGACAATTTGATTTATTGCCACTTAAAAGGCAACATTCAGTTTTCTTTCTACTCTCTCGTCTGGTTTTTTTTCAGCGTTTTTGTTTGGCAAAGGATAGGGGTAGTGGGGGGGCAAAATAAATAACACGTTTACACATCCAAATGAAGCAGCCGCAGGGGTGTGGGTGATGGGGCTGGGTTTCAAGTTGGCCTGTGGCCTGGGTTGGAGGTTTCTTCCAAAGTTGTTGAGAGTCGGAATGGCGACGAGATTGTTAATAAGAATGCATATATTATGCCAACGCCGACACGTCACATGTGTGTGTGCCTGCCCACCGCCCAAAAGTCCCCACTCCCTTT